GGTGTCTGCAGTGATAGCGAGATTATCTGCATAGTCAATATCGGTCAACATTTTTTGCAGGATATCAACTTGATGAATTGGCGTCTCTGCAAGAGCGTATTGAACAATTGCAAAACCTCTATACCTCCATTGTTCAACCAGTTCGAGGTTCTGATCTCCTCTGCCGACAAGGCTGAATGCTTTGCACGGATGGTTACACATAACCCCGTCATTGGTATTGGGCGTTATCTCCAATTTAGACCCCAACAAGGCTAGTGGTGGAGATGGGATACCAGCCATTGTCTTGAAGAAATGCGCGCCTGAACTGGCGCCCGCCCTTTCTAAACTATACAACTACTGCCTCAAGAAATCTTGTTTTCCTGACTGCTGGAAGTCCTCTTCGGTTGTTCCTGTCTTCAAGAACTCTGGCGACCCCTCTGATCCTTCTAACTACCGTCCTATCAGTCTCCTACCCGTCTTCGGCAAAGTCTACGGAGCCCTAATCAATACCGAAGTGGTTAACCACCTCACATCCCATAATCTGCTCTCAGACAAGCAATATGGCTTCCGCTTTGCCCGATCTACAGCTGATGTGCTTACGGCCATCACTGAAACTGTCTACCGAGCTCTTCAAAATAACGGGGAAGCTCGTGCCGTGGCCCCTAGACATCTCCAAAGCATTTGATAGGGTTTGGCATGCCAGCCTTCTTCGCAAGCTCCAGGGTTATGGCATTACGGGTCGATTGTTTGACCTAGTACAATCATTCCTGTCAAACTGTGAATTGAAGGTCCTTCTCAACGGATTCTCCTCCAGTTCCTATCCCACGAACGCAGATGTTCCTCAAGGCTCCATCCTAGGCCCCACTCTATTCCTTATTTACATAAATGACCTTCCTGACGCCATAAATTCCCAAGTTTGCATCTACGCGGATGACACCACCTTATTCCTGCATTAAAAACAAATCAAGTGTCACTGACAAAACTAACCTGACCGTGGGTCTCGAAAAGGACCTCCAATCGGTTGTGAACTGGGGCAGGAATTGGTTGGTCAACTTTAATGCTTCAAAAACAAAACTGCTCTTTATTAATCACCACAGAGATCCTTCTCTGCCCTCCATTAGAATGTCTGACGCTCAACTTCTCGAGAGCACCTCTCTGCGGCTGCTCGGTCTCACGTTGACTACTGACCGGAGATGGAACAAATACATTGAGTCAATTGCTTCGTCCACCGCAAGGAAGGTTGGCTCCCTGTGCCAGGAAATTTTTCTCCCCGGAATCGATCCTTCACATCTACAAATCAACAATTCACCCTTGCATGGAGTATTGCTGCCATATATGGCCTGGAGCCCTTTCTGTTTGCCTCGGGGTTCTTGATAGGCTCCAGAGGCGGATATGCAATATAATTGGCCCTGATCTGGCATCTCGTCAACAGTCACTTTCTCACAGACGCGCCGTCGCCTCTCTCTGTCTGTTTTACAAATACTTTCATGACAATTGCTCCGTGGAGCTGCATTCGCTGGTTCCCAGACTTCATGAGTTCAAACGCCCTACGAGGCTGGCATCCCGCTCTCACCCTTTCGAAACTATTAAATGTAGCCGTCTCTTCTACTCCAATAGCTTCGTGTCTCGCACCTCTCGCCTGTGGAACTCCCTACCCTATTCCTGTTTCCCTGAGAGCTATAATCTTCATCTATTCAAATGTAATGTCAATCGACATCTCCAGTTGCCTTGATCTATCCACTATCCTTCTCCTCATCATTTCTTTTATCACTCCTATCAGAACTTGCTCCAAATTTTCTGTAACCCCTTGCGTCCTCGTGGCTTCCCGCCTTGCTTGGGGTGAAACGCTTAAAAAAAAGTAAGACTTAGATGATGATGTTTGCCGAATTATGTTCTCAATACATAGTCAAGGAAGATAACAAAAAGAAAAACTGCAAAGGTGTTCCCCACTAAAAAGACCCTCTGCTTTAATTTCGAAGAATTTAGTGTCTCCGTCGGGGTCTAAATAATGAAAAGACATCGAGTATGTGACTTGAAATTTAATCTAATTCACAAACGTCAAAATTTCATCAACGAAACGAAATCATTTGAATTTCAAGACGGAATGTCTTCCTTTTTCTAGGTACCGTATCACTTCAGGACGTGGGTGATCATGACTCACCACGACTTCCTATCATTTGTAGGCCGTAGCAATGTTTCTCTTTTACTATACTTGGCCTCCCTATTCGACTCTCCATTTACAGCTAAGGTCGAATCGTCGCAGGTATCTTCGTGTTGGGCTGGTCCAAGCAGGGTGATGATCTACAGCAAAAAAAAAAAATTACACTAGAATAAATTGAACAAGAATATATACTTCTTTTATATCAGTCCACCGTACATTCATTTGTTTATAACAGAGTTCGTATGCAATTAATTATCAGCCCACCCCGCATCTAAGTCGGAAGTGATACTATCTGGCAAAAATCTGGTTTGCTGTTGATGGTAAGCATTGGCACAAGGCTGAAGTCCGAGGCTTTCGTCGGCAGATAATCACGTGGGCTTCTCTTCTCTTTCTGTCTCTGTATCTTCAGCTCCGATTTGTCTCTCTTCTGGCGCATTCGTATTTATGGAAATCATTTGGGAGAATTCCTTCTCCCAATCTCTCATATCATTACCTCTCACTAATCCTCTTCAGTAAGTGTGAGTGGCTTATCCAATCACCTCCTGTCTCGAATCAACTTTCATTCAGTAGAATCCACTCCAAAGTCGTTGTTAACGAAAATAAAGTTTCCGCTTCACAGCTTGCATTTGCAGCTGTGCCCTCTAAGTCTGGGTCACTTCTCCATTGTTCAAACTGCTCGACATACAATTCAAGTGTGTGAATTAAATCCTCAATTCTTCCCACAGGTTTTTGGTATTGACTCTTCTCGTTTCAATGTCTCTGGGTACATAAGACTTTCTTATGTTTTAACAAAACGTTCTTCCGTTTTACCTCGGCAACGACAAATAGTATCACAATAAACTTCTGTCCTCTATCCCTGATGCCTTCAATAGGTCCTTTGAGTGTTTAATTTTCCAGACCCTCATTTCTCATTGGTTCCCAGAAATATTAGGTTTTTTTTTTTTTTTTGATTTATGTATAATCGTCGTTTTCGTTTCTATTTTCCTTAAAATTTCATTTTTGTTTGAACGACATTGAAAAATTGCTCCTTACATACTGTCTTCGTGGCAGTTGGATACATTGCTTAGGAGACACGGTATCCAACTGTTTGGCGGATTGAATTGAGGAATTTTACAGCCGAGTTCGAATTCCACTCGAATTAATTAAATTCACTTAAGTGTTCATGACGGTATGAATCCATCTAACACCCACGTCTCTTCCAGACAAACTATGACAGGCTTGGTTCTATAGTTTTATCGGTATAGGAGACTATACCTTTTTGCATTTCACTGGAAGTCGCGGGCGACCTACACCATATTCCGTGGTCTTCGGCTGTTGGTCAAGATCTTGGAGAGGAGACTATTGTAAGAATCATGAGGAAGAAGAATCAATCTGATTCTTCAATCCACATGTCCGCCACCACCGTTAATTGAAGCGATCGAGTGTTACAAAAAATACGTCGTTTCTTTAATTTCACTCTTGAAGCAACTTGAGTGCCGCAGAATTTATACAAAAGGGAACACCTCCGACGGGAGTCGAACCCGCAATCCCCGGCTTAGGAGGCCGGTGCCTTATCCATTGGGCCACGGAGGCTTTTCTGACGAATATAAGATATCTAGTGATTCTGAAACTTTCTTGTCAATCGACAACGCCTGAAAGCTAAAAACGTTTGACTGTCGTTATTCTGCTAACGTTAAATTATCTTCTTAATTAAATGTCTTAATTTGTGAGTCATGTATAAAGCCTCGTTCGTCTTCTTCAGTCAGTATAACTCACTACTCAGTCATAATAGTTCTAACGAAACAAGATTGCCAACCATTACACCACATCGATGTGAACCAGCAAAGTACTTTATAAGTAAATTAGTTTATTTCCAAAATGTTATTTTCTGCTGCATTCTCCTCTGGTAATACTAATGGAATCATTAGCCGTTTCCCTATAAGGAAATATTTGGCAACCAATGACCGGACTGGTAGTAATGCTGTCGGTTGAAATTTGCAAAATCCTTCATTCAAATCATTTTTTTATGAAAATATGTTTCTCACATCCAGTAGCTGTTATCGCTCTTTCCAGTACTGATGGAGGTTTCCTTCCAAACATTTTATTTGAAGTTGTGTGAAATCGGACATTCCAAAATGTTATTTTCTGCTGCATTCTCCTCTGGTAATGCTAATGGAATCATTAGCCGTTTCCCTATAAGGAAATATTTGGCAATCAATGACCGAGCAGCTAGTAATGCTGTCTAAATTTACAAAATCCTTTACTGAAATCATTTTTTATGAAAATAAGTTTCTCACATCCAGTAGCTCTTTCCATTACTGACGGAGGTTTCCTTACTGAAATTTTATTTGAAGTTGTGTGAAATCGGACATAAAATTATAATTGTTTATAGACTCCGTTTCCTCTAATAGGATTCGATCCATTGCAAAATAAAAAGGAACAATCCCCAGCAGTTTATTCCGCTTTCGTACCAAAGTTACATATTGGAGCTTTTAAACATTGTGATAATATAAGCAGAGATTTGTCTCCCCACAATCTATGATACGCTCCCTAATCTATTATACCCCGCGTATCTTTGTCATGGGGTCCCTCACTCTAGCAAAACTCAATTTTCTTAAGGTAGTATTCGTATAAAATACACATTTTATTGTAATCTAATAATGTGCAATAATGGATCATAATGCAATATAAGCGAACAATTCAACTAGAAAATTTGAAAATTAACCCATAGCTGGAGGAGAAGAGGTGGATTCATACATTTCCCAATGATATTTGCGCCTAAGTGAATATAACGAACCCAACTGGAATTTTAACTCGGCTTTCCGATTAAGTAAAACGAGCCATTATCCATTGCACCACCTGCACATCCAAGTTTCCATTTCCTGGTACCCCAAGCGGTCACTCATCTAGGTACTAATCAGGCTCGATGTTGTTTAACTTCGGTGATCGTACGGGAAACGGTGTTACAACATGATTTGGCCGTAAACCAGAAATAGTTTGATATCCACAACTAGTTGAGACTATTCGGTTTTAAGTAATATTAAAAAAGATTCCATAATCTTTCAACTACAATCCTATGGACTGAGAACTTCACAGAGTAGACGGTAAGATTATTCACATAGCCTCGGATATTGGCACGCAACCTAGACATATGGAGGGAGCTAGTCAGTTGTTCAGCCGCACAATGATCATACGACAACACTCAGTCATGGTGACAGGTGACAGTGTTGAAGAAGAAGAGTATTTAAACATCAAACAAGATATAAAAACATAATGCATTAATAATAAGTTCAAATTAGCAGCTGATCTCAAAAATGACTATCAATATGCTGTTAACTGGGGTAAGAAATGACTTGTTAATTTTAACGCTTCCAAAACGAAACTGCTATGTATCAGTCAACTGAGAGACCCCTGTTTACCTCACATCAGCATGGCTGATGCTAACCTCCAGAAGAGTGACATATTGCGCTTTCTCGGACCATCATTTTCCGTTGACATAAAGTGTAAAGAGTATATTGAATCAATAGATCAGCTGCTAAGAAAGTTGGTTCACTGTGTCGTGCCTGACATTTTTTCTCGCCATAATCTATCTTAGATATTTATAAGTCTACTATTGGTCCATGCTTTGAATGTTGCTACTACATCTGATCCGATGTTCCTGCTTTACATTTAGAGATTCTTGATAAAATCCAAAGAAGAATATGCAATGTTATTGGTCCTGACCGGGCATCTCGCCTTCAGTCCGTTTTCCACTGCTGTAATGTAGATTCCCTGTACCTTTTCTATATATGCTTTTATGGTAATTATACTGACGGACTTTCTTCTATGGTACCTAGACTTTATGAATTTAAGTGCAGGACTAGATTGTCGACAAGGACTCGTCAAGTACAAAAATGAAACAGATTGAAAGATCAGAATGTGGCGCACAATATTCATCGACCACCAGTGAAACAGTAATCAACATCAGCCAATATCAGCTGAGTGCCTTTGAGAAGTCAATGTTGAATAAGGGTCTCAACTTCGCCGCATCTATCAGGCGCGTGCCATACTCGGACATCATTGCCAGAATCGAGGAGATGGCCTTGAACTTCCATCAAGCTCAGACGGATGAACTGAGATGGGAGTGTCTTAATTTGATAGTCATATATAAAAACTCGCTCGTATTTCGTCTCGTATTTCGCCTTGTCTGCAATGACTTTTACAGTTTTTTCTTCCTATTTAATGTTTAATTTCCAGATATTCAAATAAAGTTTACATCGAATAAAAATATATCCCAATATTTTCTCTTGTTCAACCCATAAAATATCCGCAAAGGAAAGACGTTCAGAAAAAAAAGAATGATTTAAAAAAAAAATTATAAGTCATGTCTCTCTCTATTAGTCAGCAAAGTATTTTATAAGTAAATTGGTTTATATCCAAGTTGTTATTTTCATATTCTGCTGTATTCCCATATAGTTATGTGAATTGTATCATTAGCCGTTTCCTTACAAGGAAATATTTGGCATTCAATGGCCGGGCAGCTAATACTGCTGTCGGTTGAAATTTGTAACATCTTTCGCTTCAAACCATTTTTTTATGAAAATATGTTTTTCACGTCCAGTAGCTGTTATCGCTCTTTCCAGTACTGATGGAGGTTTCCTTCCTAACATTGTATTTGAAGTGATGTGGAAACGGACATGACAAAGTAATAATTGTTTATAGTCTCAGTTTCCTCCACCAGGATTCGATCCACTGCATAAGAAAAGGAGCAATTCATAGAATCCACGGTAGTTTATTCCACTTTCGTACCAAAGTTAAGTATTGCAGATTTTGAACATGTTGATACTATAAGCAGGGCTTGTTCATGGGTTTCGTCTCCCCACAATCTATGATATGCTCCCTAATCTATTATACCCCGCGTATCTTTGTTACGGGGTCCCTCACTCTAGTCTAGCAAATCTCAATTTTCATAAGGGACTATTCGTATAAAATATACATTTTATTGAGATCTAATAATGTGCAATAATGGATCAGGTGCAATATAGGCGAACAATTCAACAAGAAAACTTGATAATAAATACAAAATAACTAAATATTAATTGCATGCATATTATAATAAATTGTTCTACCTGAAATAAATCAACAATGTTTTGTGGAAATTTTTAACACCAAATTGACATGTTTCTTGTTAAAAAGTTGAATAATTTTTACGCATTCAACATTATAGCAAGAAACATCCCCAAGCGGTCACCCGTCTAGTTACTGACCAAATTCGACGTTGTTTAACTTCGATGAAAGAACTGAAAGCGGTGCTTAAACGTGATACGATTTTGTTAGATTAATGCATAATTTGAATCCAATATATAGAAAAAGTAAAGTTACATGTTGAACTAAGCCTATTTTGAAAAAGAATAGATTGATATACGCATATAATGATTTGTTTTCATGTAATTCTTTTTGTTTTTTTTTGTTTTTTTGTTCTTTGTTGTTTTGTTTGTTTTTTGTCTTGTTTTTTTTTTTACCCGAAGCATGGCGATAATGCTACTAAGCCGCAAATGGTTACTGGTTTTAAAAGAGGATAAGAAGACCTTAATTAAGAGAAAGAACAATAAAAGAAAAGGTTTTAAAAAATGATTATTAACGTTGTATTTTAATTATAAATCTTTTAGTTGTCAGCGAAACAAGAAATTGAAATATACTTTCCACAGATGAGAAATGCGAGAAAAGAAACTATTAGAATAGAAATTATGGTTATATCTAAATATTTCTACAGCAAAACAGTGTGACCTAATTGCCAATCTAGTATTACGCTTAAATTCATGAAGTCGGAATACCTAGGAAGAGAGTTCATTCGAACAACTGCTATAAAATAATCATAGAAAAGGCAGAGGGGAATTATGTCACAACTCTGGGAAAATTACTGAAGTCCAGATGACAGGTTCTTCTTTGGATTTTGTCAATAATCACGAGATGTACAGCAGTAGAAGCAGATCAAATAAGTTAGGAATATTTAATGCACGGACGAATGGTAGATTTATAAATGTGCCAGATGGTTTCTGATGAGAAAAAATATCTGTTAAGTCACAATGAACCAACCGTTTTACAAAGAAATCTATCAATTGTTTCAATATAACCATCTCACTTTATATCAATAGAAAACGTGGAACGAAGCAAGCGCAATACTTTACTTTTCTGGAGGTCATCACAACTCATGCTGATGGGCGGGGGCAATATTGTTCTCTGATGATTAAAAGACAGCGGTTTGGGAGGCTTTAGAACAGGAATAGGCAACATTTTTCCGACCAGTGTACCACATGATATATGGCTCATCATAAGGCGGGCCGCACTCCTCAAAAAGATTCAAGGTAATTTTTCTTTGAAGGTGTCAACCATTTTCACTACGAAAGGAACTACGTCTGAATTAGAAAGAGGGAATCGTTGATTTTTTTTTCTTTAAGAGAAACTTTTTTCTAGAGCTAAGAAACTGAAATATCGATATAATAAAAAACTGAAATCTTGATATAAATAAAAATTGAAATCTTGATGCAATACTAATACAGATGACAATGAGATTAGCACACGCATTTACTCACTTGAAGATAGAAAAGAAAATGATAATAAAAGTTATATTTCTTCTCTAGAGAAAGAAATTATTATGAAAGTTTTCTGTATAAGAAGCAAAAAGGTATTTATACGTCTGATCTTCCTTAGTGAAAATCATCAATGGTTTAAAAATGACAAAAATGTTACTTCCGATGAAAATTTACAAGTTCAAGAAAGATTACACTTAATCATTGTTTATGTATGTGGTTATGTATGGGAGAATGTGTGAGTGAACAAGTGAGAATGAAACGAAACAAAGTAAATTCCTCGTGAAATTAAGCGTAAAATTCAGAAAGGCAAACGGGTCGCACTTTTCCCATGGCTGCATTAGAATTTACAAGTCATTTGTTTCACAATTTAACAGCTGATTGCAGCTCATTTTCGAAAGCAGCTGCCAGTTTTTACTTCGTCGGGCCTATTGGACTTGCTATTAATATAAGTATAAATGGTTATGTCATCAGCATAATTACTTAATTGAAACTGATCACGTCGTTAAGGTCGTTGATGATTATAAGAAACAACGTAGTTTCAAGGATAGAGCACTGAGTGTCGTCGCATTAATGTGAAATGATCTAGAAGCATGGCCATTCCAAACCGCCTTTATTATCTGATTTGTTAAGAATAATTGAATTAAGTTAAATATCCAGCCATAGACACCTTTATTCTTGAACTTATGAATGAGGCCGTGTCAAATACCCTCGAGATATCTAAAGTCAGAATCCGAGTTCTTATCTAAACAAATTCATGAATAACTGTTAATATATCAGTGGTCAATCTATAGAAACGAAAGCCATATTATTTAACTGAAAGAAGGCCGTGCGAAGAGAGAATCTTAACCAATTCACAGTTGATTAGAGTCTTCAGTACTATGTCAAATGAACTGAAATTTTAATACAAACGGTAATTCAAGGGATCAGATTTAATTTGATCTGTTTGTTTAACGGCATATCAACAACTTATGGGTCATTTAATACAGAAATTTAATTTTCTTGGGAGATTTGAAGTAATAAATATATGATACATATTACTCTGCACAAAAGTTGCGTATCAACTACCATGTGGTCAGTTGTTAAAGTATATATATATATATATATATATATATATATATATATGTTAGTGTGAGGATTATTGCTAGAAGCAGTGATGTGTGTTTATGTTGTAGTTTTATTGAAGTTATATTTTGGAATATCGTTTGATTTAAGAATTTGCAGGTAATTTTTTACTATAAAATGTATTACAGCTATTTTTAATATAGAAATGTATTTTTATACTTTCATATGGTCTTGTTTGTGTTTGAGGTGGATAAAATATTTGCTCATAGCTGGGGCCATAACAGTTTGTAACACCCCAAAAAAATTCATGATGGGCCTGGGGACAACAGCAATTAAGATGTGGTTCCACGC